AGAGATGTAATCTTTCGAGAAAGTGAAGTTGGAGCTGTAGATGATCAGTCAGAACAGACAAACAATGGTATAATCCCTAACCTTGTTACCATTCCTTATTCTTCTAACTATCCCACAAGTGCAGAAAGTACAACCGACGAGGTTGTCGAGCAGGGAGAGCAACCTGGTGAGGTTACTGAGCAGGGGGAGCAACTTGATGATGATGTCGAGCAAGTGGAGTATCCCACTCAGGAAGAAGAACAACCTCAACCTCTGAGGAGATCAGAGAGGCGAAGGGTAGAGTCATGCAGGTACCCTTCCACGGAGTATGTCCTCATTAGTGATGAGGGGGAGCCAGAAAGTCTTAAGGAGGTGCTGTCCTATCCAGAAAAGAACTAGTGGATGAAAGCTATGCAAGAAGAGATGGAATCTCTACAGAAAAATGGCACCTACAAGCTGGTTGAACTTCCAAAGGGTAAAAGACCACTCAAATGTAAATGGGTCTTTAAACTCAAGAAAGATGGAAATGGCAAGCTGGTTAGATATAAAGCTCGATTGGTGGTTAAAGGCTTCGAACAGAAGAAAGGTATTGATTTTGATGAAATTTTCTCACCTGTTGTCAAAATGACTTCTATTCGTACAATCTTGAGCTTAGCAGCTAGCCGAGATCTTGAAGTGGAGCAGTTGGATGTGAAAACTGCATTTCTTCACGGAGATTTGGAAGAGGAGATCTATATGGAACAGCCAGAAGGATTTGAAGTAGCTGAAAGGAAACACATGGTATGCAAACTGAATAAGAGTCTTTATGGGTTGAAGCAGGCACCAAGGCAGTGGTACAAGAAGTTTGACTCATTCATGAAAAGTCAAACTTACATAAAGACATATTCTGATCCATGTGTATACTACAAAAGATTTTCTGATAACAACTTTATTATATTGTTGTTGTATGTGGATGACATGTTGATTGTAGGACAAGACAAGGAGCTGATTTCCAAGTTGAAGGGAGACTTATCTAAGTCCTTTGACATGAAGGACTTGGGCCCAGCATAACAAATTCTGGGAATGAAGATTGTTCGAGAGCGAACAAGCAAAAAGTTGTGGCTGTCTCAGGAGAAGTACATTGAACGTGTACTGGAACGCTTCAACATGAAGAATGCTAAGCCAGTCAGCACACCTCTTGCTAGTCATCTGAAGTTGAGCAAGAAGATGTGTCCTACAACAATGGAGGAAAAGGAAAGCATGACCAAAGTTCCTTATTCTTCTGCCGTCGGAAGTTTGATGTATGCTATGGTATGCACTAGACCTGATATTGCTCACGCAGTTGGTGTTGTCAGCAGGTTTCTTGAAAATCCTGGAAAAGAACACTGGGAAGCTATCAAGTGGATACTCAGGTACCTGAGAGGTACCGCAGGAGATTGTTTGTGCTTTGGAGGATTTGATCCAGTCTTGACAGGCTATACAGATACAGATATGGCAGGTGACAATGATTTGTTTACATTTTCAGGGGGAGCTATATCATGGCAGTCGAGGTTGCAGAAGTGTGTCGCACTTTCTACAACTGAAGCGGAGTACATTGCCGCTACAGAAGCTGGCAAGGAGATGATATGGCTGAAACGCTTCCTTCAAGAGCTTGGCTTGCAGCAGAAGGGGTATATTGTCTATTGTGACAGTCAAAGTGCAATAGACTTGAGCAAGAACTCCATGTACCATGCAAGGACCAAACATATCGATGTAAGATATCATTGGATCCGAGAAAAGGTAGAGAGTGAATCTCTGCAAGTCCTGAAGATCTCCACAAGTGAGAATCCTGCAGATATGCTGACCAAGGTAGTACCAAGAGACAAGTTCGAGTTGTGCAAAGAACTTGTCGGCATGCACTCAAGTTAGATGTCCGGTGTTACCTCCTTCAGGTGAATGGGTATAGAGGGGGAGATGGGGTCCATCCCCATTGTAATAAATAAAAAAAAGGAATGAAGTTAGATTTGGAACAAAGCAAAATCGGCTAAGTTGGGCAATGATAACAACTTGCCAATTTGCAAGTCTGCAACTTGCAGAACCAAAATTGGTTTTGGTTGTCGTGGGAAACATTTTCTCACCTATAAAAGGAGAGCTTCAGCTCTCATTTTAAACACACAGAGAAAGAAAAGTAACACAATAGTTGCAGAGAGTATTTCTCAGGCATTGTGAGAAATAGACTGTGTAGGAAAAATAGAGAGTGTGGGCGATATTGTAGTGAGGTGGGAATCTTAAAAGAGGGCTATTTCTTTTGAGTGTACAGTGGTCCCTGAAGTATTTTACTCGGACTACTGGGTGTACAATTTCTCATTATAGTGGATTACTTTGCTCCTCTCGGGCTCGTGGTTTTTTCCCTTATTCAGAAGGGTTTTCCACGTTAAAAATTTTTGTGTCCTTGTTGTTCTTTTTATTCTTGTTGATCACCGTATCTCGGTACTACATTATTGTTCCGTTGTTATTACCGTGAATATTATTTCTGTGGGGGGTTTATTCCCAACAGATAAAATAATATTATGTTATATGTTGCCATAATATAGGTAGGAATTTGTTTTATGCTTGGAAAGCCTCTTTCGCGCTCTCTATCTCCCTTTTTTTGGGTTCCGATGGACCGCATCATGGGCTAGCACTCATTGTATGAGTGAAATACTACTTAATCAAGTGAAAATGCCAACTTAAGAGCGAAGTAAGTTTGAAATAAGCTTAGACTTGTGATTCGAAAACCAAGTCAGAGATTACTAGATATTTCGCAAAAAGAATTTATCCAACTATTCTTAATGACAAAATTTAGTTCCCGTTTGGTCATAAATTTTGGCTATTTTTTTCAAAATAAATTTTGAAAACATAATTTATTCATGGAATATGATCAGTTTTTGAAAAACAATTAATTTTTTTTAGTTCCCAAAAATTGGTTTGGGCACTTTTTAGATTAATTTTTTTTTCCACTCACAAATTTTAAGTTTTCTTCAAATAAAATGTATGTCCAAACACATCTTTAATTTTAAAAAATTATTTTTCAATACAATTTAAAAATTTATTTTTTTAAGAATAAACCAAATCTGTATCCGAATGCTATCTTATTCTAACTGAACAAAATTTTCCTCATTGCAGAAGGACTATAAACGAGTGACTGTGAGTCGTGACTTGAGCTTGTTGATATTTTATGATTTCGCAAGCATAGCTAAGGCGGCACGCGAAAGTACTCATATTGACTTCTCTGTCTCGTTTTTGACAGCTTCGTAATTGTACGTATATACACTGTGAAATGACAAAACCTCTTTTCAGTCTTTGCACTGTTTGGTTGTTTCGTTCTTTAATCATATGCTCCACTGAAATATTCATATGCCGGGTCTTTTTTTTTTTTGGTTCTCACTCGGTGTTCGGTATCCGTATTGAAGTCCGACTATATCTGGATTTGTGCCGCATAGGGCCCCATTTGGGGGAAGCGCTTCCTACCAAGGATATTTCTATACCCAAAGTTCGAACCCAAAACCTCTAATTAACGAAAGAACAGTCTCATCTACTGCACAATATCCTTTGGTGGTATATGCCTGATCTTTACTTGATCTTCACGCTGTCATCACTTCTTTTTCCTAAGTCCAATTTCACTTAGCAATGGAAACAAAAGAAAGGAAAAAGAAAAAAGAAATGAAGTGCTAAGTCCAATTCATGGCTGTTTTAATGTTCTTAACACTTACCTAATAAGTATGTTTTGATATTATTACTTAAATAATACATTAAGTGCTTCGTTACATTGAACTCTAAAAAAAGTTTGTGCAATAAAAATATTTTCCTTCGAAAAAATAACACATGTCAATTATGAATAAAAGCCATTTTCCTTTACAAACATTTTAACCAGATTTTATTTGATATTACGATCTTCAAATCAATGCTTAGGACATTTTTGTCAACATTTACTACTCCAATTTGTCCAAAACACTATAGTTTAGTTGGTCTATTATTTGTCACATGCTTTTAAACCCATCATTTAAATCCGAAGTGCTATTTTTTTATTTTTTTTACAAAATAATAATAATATTTGTTTCATTCTAAATACACCCTAAGATTCAAATGCAACAGCTTGGGTCCTTTTGGTTAATTAACTACCCTTGATAATGTAGAAATAGCGTCCTCTTGTTACTTCTCGGCTTTCTCTTTAACAAATAACCACTATTATGAAATATCAAATTACACCAGTGAAATTTCAAGACAATGGCAGAAAAGTGGCTATTTTTGAATAACTTACCAATTAGTACAATCTCAGGGAGAAATTCAAAAATAGCCAGATTTACCACTGGTCGTTAAAAAATAGCCAAGTTTCAAAAGTCATCGAAATTTAGCCACTTTAAATCTGCGCGAAAACACTGTTCAAAATCCGGAAAAATACGCCCGCAAATTTTATGGGAGTTCCAGCATAAGTATGCTTGAACTCCCGTAAATTTTACGGGAGTTCCAGGATAACTATGCTGGAACTCCCGCAAATTTTACGGGAGTTCAAGCATAATTATGCTGGAACTCCCGCAAATTTTACGGGAGTTCCAGCAAGTATAATTGTCCAGTATAATATACTGGAGTTTGGAGCACTGGTGCTCAAGTCTCCCGCAAATTTTACAGGAGTTAGCAAAGTATACCGGTCCAGCATAATATGCTGGAGTTCGTACACAAATGCACCAGAACTCCCGTATATTATACTGGACCGGTCCTTGTTGCAGCAAAATAGTGGCTATTTTTCATTGACTTGATAAACGCTGGCTATTTTTCATTGACCAGTGTGAAAACTGGCTATACCATGATATTTTAACACAATCTCACTTTCCACACCGATATTCTTGTGGGCCTTTACATCAACGAGGAATGTGGATTGACCCAAATTCGTCGGTTGTGGGAGTTGTAGGTCCGGCCCAAGTTAGGCAAAGTAGTTGAAATAGTAGGGTTTACATAAATGGGATACGCCGTCACACCCGGGGAATCAGCTCGCATTTCTTGGTTATGGAGTTAGACAGGTCTGACCCTAGTTAAAACAATTTGGGATTGATGCGTAGTGGTTTTTGCTTAAGATTTATTTACTATTTCCAGATTGGATTTGATAATTATCTTGTGTTCCAATTGCTTGTCTTCTATATATGATTACTTTCTTATTTTCATATCGATTATATTATCTTTATTTATGCAGTTTCACAAAACATCTGGAGATTCAGGTTGTCTAGGCTTTAATTACATGCTCTAGCTTTGTATCTTCTATGTGATGGAAATTACTCTTTTAGCTAGTTTATTGGAGTCAAACCATTCAATTTTCACATTTAAAGTAACATTATGCTAGATTTCTATGTCCAGAAACTGTATATATCTATTTAGTGTTTCCTCTGCTACTAGATGCATAATATAAAAAATATATCCCTTCTAGTTGTTCGGCTTTGATGTTATTTGCAAAATGAATTATATTAATTTTTATATTATGTGGTTATAAAGAGAATTTAATATTTTTCAATAGGTTTCATGCCTGATCATTGCCATGTTGCTAGCTCTTAACTGATACATCTCTTATACATATCTGTTGGATTATTGCACTATATGGTTATAGAAGTTTCATTTCTCCGTCTGAAGGATATAGGTTTTGTATTACTTTTATTTGTTATAGACTCATATCTTCTTATTCTTAGGCAAAATATCTTTGAGCCCTAATTAGATTATGCCCAAATGTTTTATTTTATTTTTAATAGAATTTCTTGTACTTATTAGCTATGACAAAAATCCACTTTAAACAGTTGGTATTCCCAGTTTCCTAGTAACAATGTCGAGAAAGAAGCGACTCAAGATATTCAGATTTTAAAGAGGTTGGAAACGTGCTGCCTTAATGATGAGTGGTGAGTCAATTGGCGGAGAGCTCTGTCCTAGTAAAGTCTGTTGGTCATATTAAAATTATACGCATTGTAAAGAAAATGGTTCTAAGTAACATCAGAAACTTGAAGTGGTAGGGAAAAAAGTTGTAGGTAAGTGCAAAGGTTTCCTTTAGTTCTTAAGACAGTTACTAGTTTATTAAGTTCCGAATAAGAGATTGAAGAGCCAACACATTTAAAGAAGTGAAATATGAGGCTTACAATTTGTTGAGAAGTGAATGTGGAAGCTCACATATTTGACTTTTCAAATCTCCACTCTCCAATCTTTGATTTGGAGCTTAATAGGCCCACAAATGTCTTTAGAGCTAAGGGCAAACCTTTGCACGTTTCTGCAATTCTTTTTCCAACCTCTTCAAGTTCCGAAAGTTTCTTAGAATCCATGTTCTCAAATGCGCCTCTTTTGTATAAAGGCCAACAACTTCACTGGACAGAGTTCCCACACTAATTGGCCACTACCCATCATCAAAACAACACTTTTCTTATGCTAATTGGCTCACTTTGACGCGTTAACTACAATGGCAACCTCATGGAAGAGTGCGGAGATTCCAAATTTTTAAGCAGACTTCATCGAGAAAGAGGCAACTTGAAACTGCGAAGTCTTGACTTTTGGGGTTCCTGCACCCATGCTTTTTATTGTCATTCTCCATTACTCTCGTCTTCCCAATCTCACCCCAGCAAATCTGTAAAGTCAATTTCCTTCTCTTCCTTGCAAGATTTCATAGTTTGTGCAAAAAATTCTCATCTCCTGTAACATCTAAGTTTAGGTTTACTAAGAAGTTTGGGTAAGCAGTAGCTGTGGTTAAAATTTGATCACCTTCTACTTTGTAAAGTTACAGAAGTTATTAGTTGATTATTTTGATGTATGCTTCTCTAAAATTTATAGGCTGATAAGGAAAATTTTGATACTGTGAATGTTGGATGACATGCTTTTCAAAGATGGGAAGCGTAGGGATTGTACATCACGGTTCTGAAGGTAATGTAGTCCGTGGCTCTCCTATATTTCTTTGATACTTCAAATTCAAGTGTATAATGTTGTTCCTTTGTATTTTCATATGTGGAAACTAGTTCTTGTGAAATCACAATGAAAGGTCATAACAAGTGAAAATTGATTTTCTATATATCATAGACTAGTTTTTGAAGGCATTGCAGATAAATTCTCTCTCACTTGTGGGATTACACTGGTTTGTTGTTGTTGCAGATAGGATACAATTGTCATCGTTTAGTGTTTCATAGAAGATGAGTGGATGCTGAACTTTACTTTTATTTTTTACCCCGTAATATTCTATTGTAAAAAGTTGTTATGTATATACTGAATTTAGTAGTGGAAGGATAGACTGCTGAGACAAAGGCATTTTGCTTGAATACTGCACAAACATATCTACCATGGATATGCACAGTCCTAGAGAAGGCCAACTGGTTTTGGAAGGTATTGCAGATCTTTTCTAATTTGATCTACTGTATTTTGTGTTCACTTCATAAGCCACAGCCTCTCTTGTGTGCTTTTGCATATATCTAGTTGTCGATACTTATCATAATGTTTTTTTTTTCTTTAATCAATTGAATTGGACCTTAGTCTCTTGATCTATACGATACAGACTATATTTTAGATCAGGGTATCACCAATTGAAGATCAGGCAGTAGGATATTTCGAAAATAGCTTTCGGGACCCGGTAGGGGTACTTTGAGTTTCTGGTGTAGCCCTCCAGTTGTGGCCCCTGCGAAGAGTTGGAGAATGATTTAAGATCAACGGAGCTTCTAAGAATTAAAGAATGAATGAGATAAAGCTTCATAGCAAAAGCTTGAAAATAATGTATGTGGAGCTTGGTTTGTTGAAGAGACACAGGCAACTACGTCTGCAGGAGGCATTAACCATCTTCTAGTACAACCTCGAAAATTTTGAAGCTTGAAGATCGTGTATGTAATAGCCTGAAAATAATGTATTTTCAACCCTGGATTAGTCCACCAAAACTTAGTCCTCTCCAATGGTAGATTAATGATTGTCTTGTTCATCAGATGTTACAGTGAACTTTTAACGATTGAATATCTGAATGTGCATGCATTTTGTATGTACCCAGAACTTGTTGACCCTTTTACTGACCATTTCAATCCAATTCTCCTGCTACTTAGCTAAGTTTGACTGCAATGTGCAGAAAATCGAGAAACCAGACCGAACCAAAGTAAATGGACATGTATTTGTTTACTTTTAAATGTTGTGATTTAACAGAGGATCATTGGAGATTGCAGGAGTGGTGTGTCATTTGAACCCAAGCCTGGACTATACTACTGGAATAGTTCTTTACTACAAATTTGAAATTGTTTGGAATGAGGTGTGTAAAATAAAATTGAGAGCTATTAGCAAAATAAAATTCAAAGAGCTGCTAGTTGCTACCTTGTCAAAGTCATGCCAAGAATATTCTGCAGAAGGGCCAAAAAAATATTCAGACTACAAAATATTGGTCATCTCAAAATTTGCTTCAGCGAAGCTACTGTTGCCTCAAAGTGAAGCTGAACATGTCGAATTTCGCCACATATGGCACTCTCTTCAGACCTTAATACCAACATCTCCTGATCCATTACGGTCTTCTCCTGATCTATTGCCTCCATCGTGTTCTTGGCTGCCATAAGTTCTCTCTCCAGATCTTTTATCTTCATAACCTTCTCTTCAATCTCTTTTTCAGCTCTTGCATTCTCAAGATTGCAGTTTTTTATTCTGCCATCTACTGCTTCCAACTTCTCTACAAAGTGATTTTGCCTCTCGTTGTTCAACAGTATATCATTCAAGCCACGTTTATACAGAATAACATCAAATCCATTTTCCTCCCAGTCCTTGACAAATGCCAGCATGTCATTAATGAGAGGTGAATTACTAAGTTCTGTGGATGTTAATTTTGGTATCTTCTCAACAACGTAAACATAATTTATCATCTTTTGTAAAGCCATGTCTTCTCGTTTATTCTCCTCATATTGAGCTAATGGTGAAAAATGTGGATTTTGTGGACTCCTTGCAAATACTTCCGCAGATTCAACTATTCCCCAAAGAGTGGAGTTCTTCCTAAATGGAAGAACAAGACTCTGCTCAGGCGTACTGATGGAATTAAGTTCAGTATCTGGCGTTCCATCAGGTTGTTGAGTACTGGTCTCAACACATGGTTGGTCTGCTGCAGCAGAGGCACCTGCAAAATGATGACTAGATTAACCATGCTACTAACAGGGCTAAAAGAAACCTGATCAGGACAAAAATGATAGAAAGCTGAGCAATATCGCAAATGACAGGCACCTAAGTAGAGCACTATTTAGTTGGAAATAGCAGTGCAAACTGACTTATCCGTTCAATCTCAAATCTTTTATTTTTCAAAAAGACATGATTGATCACATCATTTGAAAATGAACATGGAAATTGTCAACTGGGCAACTCAGGAAGCTGGCTCAAGTACTACTTTGATTGGTAGTGGACTAGTGGTTATCTTCCATCTAATATTTAACATTAAGTAACCCGACTAGAGTATACTTTTTAAGGAAAATACTAATGTGGCTAGCCAATCTGAATAAGAAAGGAAGTTTTGAAAAGTACTTTTTCCTTCTTAAATTCTTGAAAAATCATCAAAGTTGAGCTTGTATCATATTTTAAGGTCTAATTGAGCTCAAACTCGTAAAACCTATCCATAACTAACTCCAGTCTTGCACAAGCGCTTCGATATTCAGTATTTTCTGTTCAACTGCAGTTCCTGTTGTAAATGAAGACATTCAGGATGCCTAATTCTAGAAACCTCTTTCATAATATAATAGTGTCAAATAGTGCAGACAGCTTGGAGTTCTTTAAACTCCTGGTGCAAAAGTAGTTATCAAGCTATCGAAATAGAAGTTAAAACTAGTAGGAATAAATTAAGTATTTAACATTAAAATGCAATCACTTTGAGAACAACAAACTTTGAAACAAGAGGCTAAACACATAGGAATTACTAAACGCCATTAAGATGAGCAATCGCAAATAGGATTTGTGACAATGTAATTGGTTAAATTGCATTGCTTTACCTGCTGAAATATTTATACCACTAGTTGAAGATAACTCAACTTGCTTGGTTGCATTCTGTTCATTTACCAATTCATGGAGAGTGCTTTCAACTACTTGTTTCTCCACATCTGTCATCAAGCAGAACATTTATGCAATGAGCAAACAAAACTGTACACCAAAATCAGTTACCTTGTGGCACAGCAAGTAATCGGTGGTCAGACAGGTCCCCAGTGTTTCTTTTGCTGCTACCCTGGATAACAAAGAAAAGAAAGCAAACACCAGAATTGATAACGAACAGAAAAGCGAACTAATTGAGGAGAAATTTCAGGGAACTCAAGCTTATAGAATATTCATACTCTAATCAGTGAAATCTTTTACATAATAGAATAGACACAGATGAATGAGCCCTATAATAACATGTTACCTCAACAATCAGAAATCCAGAATCACTTTGCTTTCCATCCTTATCTCTGGTGCGCTTGGGAAATTCTTGATTCTCCAACGCAAAAGAAACATGTTTTCTACTTTTTAACTTCTTCAGCGGCTGTACCCCGCCAGTCTCAGTATCCAACATCTCCAGTCTCTTCTTCAAAGAGGCTGTATCCTTGATGCCAATTTAGTTGTTAAGTTCTTGACGAGTAGTTATCAAAACCCAAGTAGAGAGAAAAATATAGTAACTTACCCCCATCATTAGAATGTTCAGTTTCAGCTGGTGAACAATCAATTCTTTCCTCCACGCCATGACTTGATTGATTATCAACTGAACCAACTCCTCTTGGTTTTCCGATCTGCAAAAGTCAGCACCAAAAACAGTCAAGCTCTAGGAAACTCTTTCTCTCCTTCTATTTTCCTACTGTGACACATTTGGTATGTAAATCAACAGCCTTTGTCTAAACATTGCTGAAGCAATCAGCTTATAGCAACTGAATATGTTTATTTGACAATCAGATTGTGAATATTCCAAGTATGTTGGCAATCATACGGGATGTATTCAGTACCCAGTGAAGTTCTATTAACTATATATCAGATCTTAGAGCTTATTAATCAAAATACATATTGGAGAAGCAAAATATGTTCTTCAAGTAACATGATTTTGGAATCTAGTCTCTTTTGCTTTACAACTTTATTGCTGGGCTGGTAAAGAAAATAATAAGACATCCAAATTTACCAAGAGAAAAAGAAAAGGGCGATTTGCAGTCGTACCCTATATTTGTGCCACCTTTTAACCTGTACCCTATTTTTTAAAATTATTGATTTGGTAGCCAGCTGACAAAAAATTCATAATAATATAACAATTATACCCCTGACAAAAGATGCATCATGCATTAATCGCTCTACCGTTCTCCTCCATCACTCCGTCAATTGCATGGGGCGCCCTATTTGGTCCCCCTTTTTAACCTGTACCAGCTTTGCTTTTCTGTTTGCATTTGTACCTTTTTTTTTTTTTTTTTTGCTAAAAGCGTTTTAAAAAGACGATTTTGCCCTTCTTTAGTAAAAGACTACTTCCTCTCCAAGTGTACGGCATATTGTCTATTGTGTCACTCTCCCCTTCTTCGCGTTTTTGATTTGTTCTTCTCTGAAATCAAACGGTTTTCATCATTGCATTCTTCTTGATTTTGCACCTGTTTGTTCCCCAACAACATTACGTATAATCACAGGTACAATTTTAATGGTTGCTTTTGTACATTGCATTAACTTTGTATGGGATTTTATTTTAGTATTATTTTTATGATTTAATTTTTGGATTTTTTGTTGATAGTCATCTTAGTTGAATCGTTTCCTTTTTTTATTTGTGGTAAAATAGTTTCCTAGGATTTACTTTGATTAGTGTATTAGTTTTGTAGGTTTTACTTTTACGATTGTGTTTTTTGAAACTCTGTTTGTGTTTTTTATGAAAATTTTATATATTCTTCGGTGAATTTTGCAGACGTTGAAATTTCTAAAAATTTTGAGAGGTAAATAGATGATGCTATTAAAGTGTGAAGTTTATAATACTTCAAGGATAACTTAATTCTAGGAGCTAAAGTTCTGTTTTGTGTTTTGTATAAGTAAAGTATGTCTGCAGTTTTTGTTATATTTTTTATGAACTTCAGCATTATTGGAGTTGAATTTGTATTCTGTATTTGTAAAAATTACAGCACGTTTTGGCTGAAGTTTTTGTTTTGTAATTGCTGAACTTCAGTATTCTTTATAGCTGAAGTTTCGTTCTGTATTTGCCGAACTTCAGCATTCTTAGAGCTGAAGTTAGATGGCTTTAAAATATAACTTAGGCCAAATTGTGCTGAAGTTTTAACTGATTTTTTTGATAATATTCTGAAGTTATTTTTCCTACCTTTAATTTTCTTTTTGAACAGATGGCATCTGTGAAATCCAAATCACCTAAAGATCCTAGAATACGTAAAGCTCCTTCGGTCCCTGCTGATGTACCTACAAAACCAGGACAGAGATGTTATGAGTTTGGAGATTGGTTTAACTCTCATGCTTACCGGAAGGGGAACCATGATTTGAAGCGTTTAATTACAACGCCTATATCTCAGAGAATCTCTTGCATATGAGGTAAAACTATGACCTATTCTTTACTCTCTTCTTAATTCTAACATTTGTCCATAAACGCTAACTAGAGAAATTAGAACCAGCTGATAGAATTCATCTCAAACTTCCTGTGTCTCTACACCTAAAATTTCTTGGCAAATAGCTATTGCGTCTGCAAATGGATTGCTTTTCCCAATAGTAGTACCTTGAATCATATGTAGAAGATGTGAGAAGAAGAGAGAGTGAAAGCTATGGTTGTGAAAATACATATTTAACTCCATAGCTTTTAGAAGCAATGGTTGTAAGAACACTTATTTTGAATTTGCTAGTGCTTTCAAAATATGTACAATAGGGGCTAGGTAGGGTAACACTTAAAAACATGGGCCATTTTGTGTTATGGTGTGAAGCCATGTGTATTTTCTTGTAATTTCTTCATTTAGAATATTTCCCACATGTGTATTTTCTTGTAATTTCTTCATTTAGAATATTTCCCACATGTTACCAAGAGTTCTACATGTTCCAAACACATAGTACCAGTTATTGGTGAAAAACTCAGAAAGCATGGACACAACATACAACATCGATACAACATGGAAATCAAAGGAGCACAGCATACAACTGGGATATAAATAAACTACTTATTACTTCATAAAATAAAAAATAAAAAAATAAAAAAATCAAAGACAGAAAGCATGGAAATCAATTTAAGATTAGAATTCTTTCTGTTTCCTATTACTTTAAAATGATTACTCTATCATATATTGCACACCTACTGTAGCTTAAATGATAGAAGACCTATAGAAATCCAAAAAAGATACTTAGTACAAAAATGTCACATAAGTTATCAAGCAAAGTATGAGAGTAATGAAGCATCAGCTAAGAAGAAGAGGGTAGAAGTATGTACAAATACCTTCTCATATGCTTTTTTGCTACTATCAGAATTCTTCCGCTTGTTCTGGTCAGCAGCACTTGAACTTCCAGACTGAAGATCAGGCATCTGTTATCATGGCGTGCATAAAAAAAGCCATTTTGTTACTTAAGATTCCATATGTAGCTGGAAATTTGTAAATATCCAACTTCCTTGTATATAAACAATATTTAAAATAAAATAAAAAATCTTTGCTCTTTCGTACAAAATCGACCTTAAGTAGTTCATGAGTCGGAACAGGGGGCACCCACTTCCCGCCAACCCAATCAACATGTAATCTCAAGTCATTTTGAGAAAACTCAAGCTCCTCATCCGGATCTTTAAAAGCGACCCGGAACCGGCTACCTTTACCACCATCACCACCAACAACTGAAGCAATCACTCCTTTCCACCAACCAGCGAGATGAAATGCATCAACAACATCCTTCACCTTAAAGGACCTCCGCTCATCCACCGTCGCAAGCGGCGGCGGGCCGGGCCGTAAGAGTGACCGTTTTGTAATGAACTCGCGTTTAGGTATTGATTCACTCACATCTTTTATGTCAGATAAGAGATGCTTGTACTGAACTAAGAAACCCCTTTTTTTCTTTTGGATAGGGTTTGGTTCCACAATGATGGCTTCGTACCAAGCTCCTCTATAACCCACTTCTTCTCTGGTAACTTCGACTTTATTGCCGATGCTGAAGGGCGACGAATTATTAGTTGGTGATAAATTCCCCATTTCTAACTCCGTTTCCTCCATTGTCGTCATTGTTGCTCCGTGAAATTCTCAGCAGAGAAATGGGATTGTTAAAGAGAAGCGGGACCCATATAAGTCCAGGTGTCAAAATATGATGTCCTCACACGTGTCTTCACTGTTATTATTATTTTCTTAGAAAACTGTTTCCACAAATGAATTTTTAAAACTAAAATACAATTATTTTTTGTTAATAAGACAAAATCAAATTGAAGTTGTTTATTTAGTACGTAAATTGTAATTTTGTTGTCTCATCAGTAAATTTCTGCTCAGTATGGATAAATCCATTTTACTGCTTTCGTTTTGCGATTTTTGTTGTTACGGATTTATTATTTTTGAGCCTAGCGGCGAAGCCACATATTAATAAAGGTGGTTAATTGATCATCCTTCATCGAAAAATTGCACTGTTTACATAGGTAAAATATTTCATTTTAAAAGTATATAACACATATTGAACGCCCTTTGTCGGAATTTTTTCCACTTCTTTTAAATTTGAACACCCTTGGAGAAATTCCTAGCTTCGCTACTGTTTGAGCCGATGATCTTCCAAAAATAGCCTCTCTATCCTTTTGAGGTAGGATAAGGTCTGCGTAAACTCTATCCTTCCCAGACTCCGCTAATGAAATTTTACTGGGTTATTGTTGTTGTTTGTTTTCGTTTTGCTTTGCTGTAGCTAAGAAGAATATGATTGAAAGATTAAGGTAGAAGATGATGCTTTGAAGATTTTAGTGTATTCGAGTCTCATTTTAGTAAAGCTCTAGAAAACTGAAGACTTCGAACTTTTAGGACTTAATAATGTTTTTAAGACTTTAAGTTTGGAATTGATTTTCCTGTTAAGAAAAGGGAAACAACATAGAAACATTAACATTGCAATTGCACAACTGACAAGCGAGATTTGCCTCATTATTTTTACTCTTTTTGAATACAGGAAGAAAACTCCTTATTGTATATTATCTTAAGATCACTATGAAAATCGATAAACCTATTATTCTAGATTCGCCTTTGAATAGGGCTATTAGTTTTCATATCAGATAACAATAAATTGTTGTATTTCTTTGCCAGTGTTACGTTTACAAGCTAAAAGACAGTGGTTATTTGTTATTAACAAAACAAATTGCAATTGTTGTCTAGAACTAGAAAAAGATCCAAGATTTTCTATAACAAATTAACAAAAGAGATATGTGACCTAAAGTTGTGTATGCAATATACTCCCTCCGGCTCTTGTTATCAGTCGTGGCTACTAAAAATAGTTGTATCAAATTATTTGTCACTTTAGAAGTTCAAGACAAAATTAATTATCTTTTTCCTTTTTTACCCTTAGCAATGATTATCCTTGAAGACTACACACCTAACTTTATTCAAATATCAATGAAGAAAGATTAAATAGTACTCCCTCCGGTCCACAATAAATGACCAATTTGCTTTTTTATTTTGGTCAAAATAAGTGTCCATTTATATAATCAAGAAAAAATTTAATTTGTTTTTCCAAAATTACTCTTATGTATGCATCCCTAAAAAGTCATTTACTCCTCACATTTGAGAAAAGAAGTAAGTACTACTATAACTATGGTGCAACATTTAATGAAGAATAGTTTAACACACTAACTATTTTCGTCTAGAATTTAATATTTCCTTAATGGGTGTGCCCAAAGCAAATTGGTCACTAATTGTGGACCGGAGGGAGTAAGACATGAATAAGGGTAAAGTAGTCAAAATCTCATCCTAATCAATTTTTCTTAAGGGACATGTACAAAAGAATCATGACACATAATTTGAGACGCAAGGAGTACCATTTAAATATTTGGAAACATATAATTAGAAAAAAGGCAAAACGAAGAAAACCTCAACTTTAACCTGTGTAAATCTCATATCATTTCTCCATTGGTATAGTCTACAATTTAGGAGATTTAATTGAGTTAGTGTACCAAATTGTTTGAGTAGTCACGCGATTCTACTGGGGATTTGTGCGGCAAGGTATTGATCGATCACAACCAGCTAATCAACACATAACATACACCACAAAAACCATTCCAATGTATTATTCAGAAATTGACTCAACGGCCAACGCAAATAAATAGCAGCAGCAACTTATTTTCTGTCTTGGCCTGGCTAATAAACTAATGTCAATGTCCAAGTAACCATACTCATGTCCTGTTAAGAGGAATCCAAAGTATTCACATTTTGTTGTTGGCACTTAATATGGTCAACAACATGTTCGATCCAAGCAATGGAAGTGGACATACGTTCTGCACTTTCTCAATGATCTTGTGATCTCGAGCTTTTGTGCAAATTGCTTCAGTTCTAAGTTTAGCTCATTTGGGGTAAACATGTCGAACAAACTCTACTTTGCACCTTCTTGGTATTGACATTATACATAATTACCAATACCATATAAAAAAATAGAAAGAGGTCAATGTGACCTGGAGCTATCTGTAATACCATACAACTTTCAGATACACAGTTGGATATTAACAGTCTCTGTCTTAAATATTTGCGGTCATTCACATAACTCCCTAATTAGTTTCTAAGAAACCATTTAAGATACAAAAAAGACAAACTTGTATGAAGGGACCATGTGCGGCATGTCAGCATAACCATTACCAGGCACCAAAATGAATTTCTTGCATTACATCAATGAATAAATGTGGCCCTCAGACTCGAGAGTAACCTACCTTAAGATTGCTCCCTCACAGCTATAACACACAATCATCAAAAGTTTCATCTGTGTTTCCTATATCAATACATATCACCCATGTTTGGCATGCGGTTTGCAAGTGGGTTTTTCTCTCCTTGACGGTCCACAATGGCAGCCTCAGTTGTTGTCAATAGCAAAGACACGCTGCAGTATATATCCAGTTTCTGTTAATAGAATTGAAAGATTTCACTAGTGTTTTACTGGGACATGTGATCCTTACCTGGCAGCATCCACTAATGCTGTTCTAACTACTTTCAGGGGATCAATAATTCCAGCCTTGACCATGTGTCTATACGTACCTGCTTATGCAAAAGAGCAGTGTCTTAAGTGTAATGGACAACCAAAGTATTCTACGCCCATTCACTTGTTTGACTCGTTACTGAAAAAGTAAACAAGAACTACTAGATCGTTTGACCCGTTCACCTAAACTTTGTTTATTATGTTACAACTTTGACTAACATACAATAAAATAATTCTCACAACCATATATAGAGCAAAGTATAAGTTTAGTAACAATGAGTAGATGACACTGACAGATTACTTTAAAATGCTAAACTCTATGCAGAAGACATTGTCGGGAACAAGGAACTATAGGCATGGAAAACTAATTTTTTATAACAGTACTGTTCCCCAAGAATCAAAACAATGTAATCTTCCCATGTAGTATAGAGTTTATGGCAAGTTCCCTGCAATTAGTAAAATAGCACTTCCCATGTCCCATTTAGATGGCACAAGTACAATTTTCCAAACAACTACTATGTTTTATACTTTTATTGACAACTTCTCTAAAAAGTTCTTAAATATTTTAATATATATGAAACTCCAATTTATAAATTTCTAAATATATAATAATGATCTCCAAAATTCATTCGTCTGATGCTGAAAATCACTCAAAGAATGAATGGTTTGACTGTTGCACTCCGAACTGAGTCATCCACTCTGAGAGAGGGTGGATTCTTTTACTTGATGTGTCTTGAAGATTACTAATTTCCCAAAAAAAAAGAAGACTACCATTAGGTAAAACAAATAAATTGTGTTCTCATATATAATGAACCGAACAAATTCACTTTACAAATATTAGGCAACATTTTCACAATGTGATCAGAGTATCAGACATAACAAGTTCGTGAGATGCGAGGCACAAACCTTTAGCTGCATCAAATCCTAGATTCAGATCATCTTGTTCTAAGAGCTTGCCTAGAACTAAGGCGCCATCTACACCAGCATTTGAAGCTATTGTAAAGGTAGGTGCCTGTGAAGTGGCAAAGAATTCCGATGTCAGTACAGCAAGTAACCACTTGAACAGAAACTAGTACAAAAAGAAATTAAAATCTAGGAGAAATGAACCTTGAGAGCATTCTCAATGATCTCAACTCCCTTCTTTTGGCCATCATTTGCAGTCTGAAGGTCTTTAAGACATTTGGTTGCGTATAGGAGAGCAACACCACCACCTAAGGAAAGAGCATTACTTTGTCAGGTCAACAGAAGAAGAGACAGTTTATTCAATAAAATAACATACCTGGAACAATGCCCTCTTCCACAGCAGCCCTTGTTGCATTTAAGGCATCTGTAACCCTATCTTTCCTTTCCCCAACTTCTGCTTCGCTGGCCCCTCCAACCTGAAACAGTGTGCAGATCAAACTAGAATGCGAAGAGTGTAACTGAATGAAAACGTAGGATGCTCAAATCCTGAGGAATATACCTTAAAAACAGCAACACCACCAGATAGCTTTGACAAACGCTCCTGAGCTTTCTCCTTATCAAACATGGCACTACTCTTTTCCTTGGCTATCCTTAGCTGTTCAAGGATGCACAACTTGTCAGTGTTTAATCTACCCAGGAACATTGACAGTCAATGACATCTAACCAAGCAAATCTATAAAGTCAATGACTCTCTCATCTAACCAAGCAAATCTATAAAGCCAATGGCTCTTTTTTCCAGATATGCCCAGAGGGAATTAGCCTTACACATAATAATTTGGAAATACAACAGAATGAATTAATTCAAAGAGGATAATACAGAATATATGACAGACTACACTCTCCCGGCTGTTCAAAGGTATGACAAAGTAGAGACAAAAGGAAGTGGGTACAACACCCACAGTAATTTCCGCATGACCTAAAAGGAAAGAAGAGGAAAATGCGTCATCACCTGCTCACACCTTTCTTCAATTAGCTTCTTGTCCCCACCTCCATGCAGAACTAAGGTGTCATCAAGGGAAACGGTAACCTGCTCAAAAGTGAAGAGTTGTATACTATGCATGTATGCAAACTTTTCAAATTGATGCAAAATAAAACTGAATAAACAAACCTTTTTGGCAGTACCAAGCATATCAAATTGAACTTTGTTCAGA